CTGCACTGGATCCTATCATCTTATAAATATTGCCCATTCTTCTATTAATAGCTTCCTCCTGTAGCTGCTGACAGTTCTCCAAACTAACACTTCCGGTTTTTTTTCTCACCTTCCTGACTTGGCATTACTGACAACTGGATCCTTGAGTGTTATCTTTTGACTGAACCTAAGTTTTACGGAACTAATTCTCTTAATAAAGGGATTTGTTCTGTGAAGTTCGGATTTGGCCACAGGCTACACTGGGGATCTGGAAGGCCACACATGGCCTTCAGGCCTCAGGTTTCTCATCTTTGACTAAAACTATCCTTTCCTCAAAACTCTGGAAACGGAAACTGGACAACTTGGTAAATTGAAGAAATTACCACAACTATTCATGATGGGCAACATTTATGAGAGTACATTTTATGTCCTTGCACAAGAAGAAGTATTGACAAGACTTTCCCCTTAACCAAACTTTGAGATTTCTCTAAGCCCTTTTCTCATTTAGGCCCCATCTTTGTTGGACTTCCATTGTCCAGTTGAATAAGAATCTTGAGAAGTCAGTTTAGAGAGAAGCTTCCACCTTTTAATATCTGATAACCCTTGATATCTGATCAAATTCCTCATCCCCCTCATCCTCTTAGGCAAAATGTGATTATCTCAGCCTATATTCAGCAAGAATCCTCGTAAGTCTCTTTTGCTAGAATTCCACCAGCTCTGTATTCCTGATGTTTCCTTTTAGTAACTGTCTACTCCCTACCCCCCATCCTATTCTTGGGCTATAAATCCCCAGTTATTCTTGTTATATTCAGAATTGAACCCAGTTTTATACGGAGTTCTCTTTTCCTGTATTGAAGTAGCTTCTGAATAAAATCTGTTTGACTGTTTTCCTACTATCCTGTTCTGGTTTCCTTTCACAATATTAATAGTATATGTTCTGGAGGAACAATTGCAAGCATGTGTGTACACTGATAAGAGATTCCAACTTCCCCAGAAGTGCATTAATGTACATAGTTATCATTCAATAAAAAAAAAAAGATATTCCAACTTAGCAATTGAATAAAGTTAGTGATCAAAATTTGCATTAGTGCTTTGTGTATATATGTAATGTCCATGAGGAAGAAATACTTGACAACTTTTTGTGCTGTTTATTACTAAACACCTCAAATATGGAAAAGGATACACTAGGATCAGTGCTGATGAAACAGTTGTGTGAAAAGGAAAGTGGTGCATTGCTGTGCAAATCAAAGAGGTGGCTTCTAGTAATTTATGTTTTTGTAGTCACTGAAAACAGTTGATGTTCAAAAATATGTTATTAGTGGTTTGTGTGGTCATGGTGTTGGGGTGATCAAGATGGGAAAAAATAGGTCATTAGGATTTGATTTATTTTTGAAGGAAATACTGATAATAGTACTATCAAATTAGAGCTTTTAAGTATGTATTGACTGTTTGGCATACTGTGCAAGGAATTGGGATGTAAATATGACTATTGAGGAAGAAAAGATGCTCATGTTGGTTTTGTTTTTTTGAGACAGAGTCTCCCACTTTGTCACCTTCTTTAGAGTGCCATGGTGTCATAGCTCATAGCAACCTCAAAGTCTTGGGCTCAAGCAATCCTCTTGTCTCGGTCTCCCAAGTACCTGAGACTACAGGCACCTGCCACACTGCCTGACTATTAGAGATGGGGTCAGGCTGGTCTAGAACTCCTGAGCTCAAGCAATTCCCTGCCTTGGCCTCCCAGACTTCTAGGATTTACAGGCGTGAACCACTGCACCTGGACTTCATGTTAGTTTTTAAAATGAGAGAGAGATGAAAATATTTCTTTGTGTTGTTAATAATTCTAGTACAGACCGTTTTGAGTAACTTACTTAAACATGTCACAGCAGTATATTCTACATGTTGAATTGCTTGAATTTTTCTTTAGGCTCGTAATATCCCATTTTTGAAATTTTCAGATGAGTGATTAAGATTTCTTTTAAAGACAGTGAAGTGTGGTATAAATGATTTACCCTTTAATGCTTTCCAATACCTTTTTTTAAAACAATTACCTTTGGAGAAGGAAACATGATTTATTGTAACATATTTTTAAAAATCATATCACTAAAAATGTAGTATTACATTGTGCATCATGAGAAAATGAGGAAATACTTTATAGAGCGAAAAGCAGTTAGAAAATGGATTGGAAATTTATTCACTTTGTCTGCCAAGTTGAAACAGTCAGTTTTTCTTTTTTCATTTGTTATATGCTTGTCAATTTCATGCCTGATGGAGTTCTAAAACTCACATTCACACCCACATAGAAGAAAAACTCAGTTCAATTCAAGTTGCGGGGAGGGGGAATGGGAAAAGGAAGAGGGGAGAAGGGGAGATTGCTGTGCTGCCATTGAATGGGCACAATATCCAGGGCTTATGGCATACCTTTTGGGTGTGGGACACAACTACAAGAGGGACGCTACCTAACAAATTTAAATATTGTGACCTGGTTGTTTGTACCCTTGCATTAACCTGAAAAAACAAAAACAAAAACAAAAAACAAATTCCAGTGAGGAGTCTTTTGTAAGTTCTAGGTTCACAATAGCTAAATATCTAGAATGATCTGATAAACTCACCAAATATTTATTGTTATCCAACAATCTTTAATTTAGAATCAGGAATTTCTTTCTTCCTTCCTTCCTTCCTTCCTTTCTTTTCTTTCTTTTCTTTCTTTCTTGATTAGAACCTCAAGCTGTCACCCTGGGAGGAGTGCTATGGCATCACAGTTCACAGCAACCTCCAACTCCTGGGCTCTAGCAATTCTCCTGCCTTTGCCTCCCTAGTAAGTGGGACTACAGGCACCTGCCACAATGCCCAGCTATTTTTTCATTGCAGCCATCATTGTTGTTTGGTGGGCCCAGGTTGGATTTGAACCCGCCAGCTCAGGTGTATGTGGCTGGCGCCTTAGCTGCTTTAGCCACAGGCACTGAACCTAGAATCAGGAATTTCTAATGTAGTAATGTAATAAGAATAGAAACTGATTGGATGTGGGAACTCAAGGACATGTAGCTCAAAGTTTTTGTCATTGGGCCAGGCATTGACAATTTGATAAGAGCACGAAGTACCGTCTATATCACTGATAGGCAACAATAATGAACATACCAGTATTTTATGAAAAATAACAGTATATTTTGAAAAAATACTTTATGGTGGTCCATAGATGCTGAACTAGTGTTTGTCACCTTTGTAAAAGAAGGTTGTATTTGTTAATAGCTTACCAAGGGGCAAACATTCTAACTGTAAAAATCCCATGTTAACTCTGAAGAAGCCAGTATTTTATAGGCTGAGTCATGGAGACTTATCCAAACTCAGCCAGCTGTTAATTGGCAGAACTAGGATTTCGACAGAGGCCCTCTGACAGTAAAATCTTGTCGCAACCCCTTGATTGCCCTGGTCTGGATCACCACAGGAAGGAACCAGGCATGACACGGATTAGAAGTGCAAGCTTAAGGGAGGCGGACTAGCTCTTCTTTGCAAGGTAGCCCTGAGCAACCTCTGCACTAGCCTTTTATTGAGACTGTACAACATGGGTGAGGGGAGTATTTTAAGGATCAATATGGGCTCAGGCTTTCTCCACAAGGAGCACCTGCGGACGAATTACCTGAGGGTCCACCCCTCAGCTGCAGATCATCTTGCTCAGAGGTCATCTGGCTCTTGGCGTCCCCTACAAAACCTGATCTTAACCACTACTTGGCCGAGGAAAATAGTAGTCTAGGAGTCTTTTAGGAGTTCAACTTAACTACTGTTTAATATTTTGAAGCCTCCTAAAGTCTTTCTCTAGTCTTTTAATATACAATTTTCCCTCATTATTCTTCCCCTTATTATTACTACTACCAATGAGAATTTTTATTAGAAGCCTTTTAAAGAGAGAAATGGTTGTAAGAAGGGGTGCTTTGTAGGCAGAGAGAAGAAGGAGCACCTTTATGACCATAAATTGTTTCCTTAATCTTGGCCAATTTTTTCTTTGGCTATTGTGGTCTTAAGACAATTCAGGTGACTCATAACTCATCATCTTTAATTCCCTAAATATCTCAGAGTTGCATGCTCATCTGTCCTAAGCAATTGAATAGCATTATCTTCCTCCATGAAAGATTTGCACAGATCACAAATCATTTTAAAGGTTTTAGTTTATAAATCAACTTTCTTAAAAGCATATTAAAAAGTTTTTTATACGTGGCAATTTAAAATTTTAAATTTATTTTAAAATATTGATTTTATACAGCCTTATATAATAGGTTTAATTTATGTTAACATTACTGTTTGTTAAAAATAAATGAAAATTCAAATGTATAGTCTTTTTCTAAAACATTAAGAAGTGTATCAGGTTTTAGAACATAAATGTTTTTGGCCTGTTTTAAATATACTATCTTGCTGGCTGATGTGTGTTGGGGGTAGAGCTTTCTCTTTTAAATCTAGCAGCGCCCCCTAGAGTGAAAGGTTAGGTACACAATTTGATAAGACAGCAGTTTCATGAATTCAATATTCTTGAAATGTCCTATCCTGAGAGATAGTTTGTTACTTGGAAGTAGTGAAGAGCTGAATTTAAATGTTTTTGTTCTCATGTAAATATTATTTTCAATGATGCCTTTAGGTAACCAGAACAATAGAGAAACAATCTTCAAATAACTGTTAAAATTTACTTGTCTTGGTAGTACACATTGTTTTCTTATCTCCTTTTGAATGTAGTGGTATACCCAATTTTATTTTAAAATGGATATTTTCATAATAAAATTAGTAATAAATGTTGACTTTTTTGCTAACCCATGTAACTTGCTCCAATTTTTTGATGCCCATTATGTATGTGATGGTGCATTTTTATTGAGGAATGCAAAATGAATAAAGAATAGAACACACCCTGGTACTATACTCTTATTTCTACTTTGTCTTTTGTAGTAGAGTGTGATGCTCAGATAATTCTCTTGACTACAAAGTTGTCTTAATTAAATTAATTAAAAATATTACTTAATATGTATCCCTTTTTATTACAGAGGAAAATACTCAGGAAATATCAGAGGTGAAGAAAAGTTTGAGTGAAAAAGTTTCTCTGTATAGAGGTGACATCACATTGCTAGAGGTAGATGCTATAGTCAATGCGGGTGAGTAGTTCATTTTTCTGTGATATATTTGTTATGAATTATTTAAAAATATTTTTTCTTAAACAAGTATTCAAATATTCTAGAAAAACATGTGCTGTAATGAATGTGCTATCTACTGCGCCCTCTACAGTTAAAGCTGCTGAATTGCGATTAGGGCATTGTACCAACTGGACATATGACAGATTGTTGCAGAAAGTTCTTAAGAAAGAACTTTAGCAGCTATACTTTTATTATTGTTAATTTTGTGCTTCAGTTAATAACTGGCTAACACAAATACAAGTTCATCAACATTTTCCCTTCTTTTGAGTAGGTTGTAAGAGATGATTGAACTATACCAGACAAAGGTAAAATATAAATTATTTCTGTGATTTCAAAACTTCTGTTGTTTGGTTTCAGGTTTTAATTTTCATTATGATATGGTTTATTTTAACGGGTATATTTTAATTTTAAGAGTTAATTGTCTAATTTTCCTATTTTAAAATTAGGAAAAAAATGATAAATGTCATTATGGTATCTTGTGTGTCCTAAATTCTTATATGTTTTATTATGTAGCTATATATCAAGAAAGACATATAGTTGTGATTCTATGCATATTGTAAATAAGAGGTTATATAATGGTTTTAATTTGTGTTTTGTAAAATTATGCTCTTTCCAGTCTGAAAATGTCAAATAAAAACAAATCTGGACTTAGGCAAGGAAAGGCTTTATCCAAAAAGACTATTGCAATAGGGGGAGAAAGAATATTTCAACATAGAGAACTGCTTATAAGTGTCTCAAGGGTCAATCAGAAAAGGCCCTTTCCTTTACAGGGAGGAGCAAACAATGCCAGGAAAAAATTGAGGTATGAGAATGGGATGGGGGGGATGGCATGATTAGACAGTTGATCAGGGAATGTTTTTCCCCTGAGATCAACTGATTCTGAGGAGGGGCTGTTAAGGAGGAATTGTTTATCTTCTGTTGCTCAAGGGTGGGACAAAGTTCAGGGGTTTGAAGGAAAGAGAAAAGCTTGATTTAAAGTTTAGTCAGGGCTAGTTTGTGGTAATGATGGTAGAAGGGTACAAACAATTTAATCATGTGAAACAGAGAATGGAAATTTGGAGGATCTTTAGCTGGCCTAGTAATAGGTTACAAGATGGTCATTTGTGAGTTTTATTTAAGTCATATGGGGACAAGTGGTTTTTTGCAATAAACAACATGCTATTTCCTAGCATACAAAAAGGGTGGAAGTAATTTCTTGACTGTGGCTGTTTTCTAGTTCAGGTGATGTTCAACATTGTCTCAAGGTTCCCTTTTATGATGAGTAAATTCTTATAGCATAGTAGGAAAATGCATTGACAAGTGAACAGAAGGGTCTTATGGAGAACTGGGGCGCAGTTCTGGCAACCGAGCAGGTTGTCTGGATGCCTAGTCATCTCATTGTTCCTTCAGAACTGGGTATTAGTTCCATTGTGCTGTGCCTGCTTTGCCATAATCAGGGCTCAGTTTTTCTCTTTCTGTTCTTTTGATGCCTCTCCTTTTCTCCTCTGCTGTTTTTGCTGCCTCTATAAAATGTAAAACTCTTCTTGAGAGAGGAGCCTGGGTCACTCAGTCTCTTCCACCCAATGTGACTCCTTTGGATTTCATTTCATCCTCATAGGCTACAGGTCTCCCTTATACCTAATTTCTGTGTACTGTTTATTTGTGGCTCTGGGTATCACAATGCCTTATTTCTTGTTGTTTGTGGGGGCCTCTGAAGAACACAGACTATTGGAGCAAAGAGTTTCAATTCACTGAAGTTAGTAAGTTGCCAACAATTTATTATGCCCTAAGTTGTATAAATATATAGCCTTTAATTGAAAAAAATTTAAAAGGGCTTACATGTATACCACCAGGCTTCCTGTATGTTCTTGTGATTTCTAGCCATTAATCCTAGTTCTGTCATGAGAAGTACAATTGATGACATCCCCTTTTTAAATACTTGAGGACTCTCTGATGAGTTTTCTCTTTCTTGTTATTAATATAATATTGAATTTGCCCATCAGCATGCTTAATAGCAGTGCAATAGTCTTCCTTGGGTTTTGCTACTGCATACTTATTTGTCCCTCGTTGAAGCCACAGATTGTTGCCTTTTTTTGCTTTTTTCTTTATCTCCAAAAGCAATGTTTTCTATTTATGTTTTTAACAATATTTGGTATTATATATTTGTTAAATTGAACTACATGCAATTGAGTTTGCAGCAGCTCTGACCAGTAGTAGCACATTCAGCATTGGGGATTTGACATCATGAATCAGTTTAAACGTCTCTGGTTTTAAAAGTTATTTACTTGATCAATAAAAATATTTTTGGGTAATTTTTATTGAAATAAATAAGATGACTCAAAACAGAAAAAGTCTCATTAACTATCTCACTACTATTTCATCCTTTTGTATTATTACCTTGCCCTTGTCTATATGGGTAATTTTTTCATAGCTAACATATGATGTACAAGGGTATGATTAATTACCATGAAGACAGACAGTGACTTATGCTCACTCCCCAAAACCACTTGGTTCCGTTAGCTCACCTTGGTGGCTGTGATATAATTGTAATTTGGCCATGTTTTGTATCTCACAAGGACAGCCTCATTAGAAAGTTGAAATGAATGTGTAATGTAATGGCTCTATTTATAGATTTCTGCTGTGCAGTTTGTTTGCCTAGTATGAAAGGAGCAGAACAGCTGTTAACCTTTCAGATGAACAAGGTAACTATGGAGTTCCCTCTAGTGAAACACGGGAAACTACAGAGCTGCCTCTAATGAGAAGGGAGTGAGAGGCAGTGTCTCTAGTTAAGGTGCCAAGGCAGCCCAGTCATCACTTTCTACTAGACTTCTAGAGTTCTCTTCCCATGACCACACTAGTACATTGGAACGCTTGGTCTTAGTTGCTATGAACTAAATTATTTGATATTTTAACTTCCTTAAATGTCTTTAAGTGACCCGGGATGAACATCCTATATATTTTTCTCCCTAGAAATCATGTATATTTGGTATATTTTAATAAAACATGTTTTGTAGTCATTATAGTACACAGGGCAGTAGCATAAGTTTAAAGTCAGGTACTCCTAGGTTCAAATTCAGGTTATACCCAGGACTATTTTTTTTTTGTTTGTTTAAACTCTTTATTTTGAAATAATACCAGGAAATTGCAAAAAAAAAAAAAATGCAAAGAGTACTACATATCCTTCACCTATACCTGTGTAGTCTTCCCTCAATGGTGACTTCATATATACCTACAGTACAGTATCAAAACCAGAAAATTGTTATTGGTGTATTATCTAGACTATGAGCTATTCAGTTTTTATCATTTTTATCTGCAATGGTGTGTTTGTGTGTGTATGTATATATGTGTGTTTAGTTCTATGTAGTTTTATCTCATTATAGATTCATATGACCACCACCACATTCCAAATATAGAACTGTCCCATTATCATGAAGGAACTCCATCATGCTACTACCCTTGTATTCACATCCACATGTCTTCCTCCTTCCCTGTCCTCCATATGTATGTATACCTTTGTCATTTCAAAAAAGTTATATAGTGTTGTAGTGAACGTTGGAGAGTAGATATCTCTTCAACATATTGATTTCAGTTCCTAGACCAAAGGATCTTATAGCAGTTCTATTTTTAGTTTTTTGAGAAAACTCCATACTGTTTTCTAGCTATACTAATTTGTGTCCCCATCAGTGTATAAGGGGTTGCCTTTTCTTTTATCCTTATCAACACTTTTCTGCATTCTCACTAATATTTGTTGTCTTTCAACTGTTTGTGTTTTTAATTCTCATTTACCTAATAATTAGTGATGGTGAGCATTTTTTGGTATACCTATTGGCCATTTCTTTTGAGAAATGTCTTTTCAGGTCCTTTGCCTATTTTTTTAAATTGGGCTATTTGTTTTATTGATACTGCGTTTTAAAAATATATTTTGGATGTTAACCTCTTATCAGATGTATGGTTTGCTCATATTTTCTCCCATGTTTGTTAATTGTTACCTTTGTTGTGCAGAAGCATTTTAGTTTGAGGCCATCCCATTTATCTATTTTTGCTTTCATTGCTGCCAAAGTCAAACTCATACAAGTAGAGGGTAGCATGATGGTTACTGGAGACTGAAGGAAGGTGGAAGAGAGGGAGTGAGTTGTTGATCAAGTGTTCCAAAGTTCATACTGATAGGAGGAATAAATTTTAAGATGTGTTGCATAATAGGATGACTATAGTCAATAATAATGTGTCATAGAGGGGCGGCACCTGTGGCTCAAGGAATAGGGCGCTGGCCCCATAGGCTGAGGGTGGTGGGTTCAAACCTAGCCCCAGCCAAAAACTGCAAAAAAGAAAAAAATGTGTCATATATTTCAAAATAGCTAAGAGAGTAAATTTCAAATGTCTCATCATAAAAAATGGTACAGATAAGTGAGGTGATGGATATGTTAATTAGCTTAATCAATAATTGTATACATATATCAAAACATCATATTTTACTCCATCAATGTATATAATTATGTCAATCAAAATAGTACTGATAATAACAAAAAAGAATGTCATGCAAATGGTAATCACACAGCATGTAATCTCTTGAGGTTGACTTTTTTCACTAAATGTAATGCCTTTGAGGTCCATTCAGATTGTTACATGTATCAGGGCCAGTTTGTTCTTTTTTATTGCTGAGAGTACTCCATTGCATAGATGTTCTAAGAATTGTTAACCATTCACCCACTGAAGGACATTTAGGTTCTCCTCAGTATTTTGCTATTACCAACAAACTGTAAACATTCATGTACAGTTTTTTATAAGACCATAAATTTTTATTTCTTTGGGATAAGCACCTAAGAATATGATAGCTAGGTTATATGGTAAACACATGATTAGTTTTGTAAGAAATTGTTTAACTATTTTCCGTAGTGATTGTATCATTTTAATTCCTAACAGCAGTGTATGAGAGACCCAGTTTCTCCACTTCCTTGGCCTCATTTGGTGTTATAATTATTTTT